AAAACTTGTGAATTTCTGTGACAAAAAAAAAAAAAAAAAAAACAATATATACAGTGATATATAACTCGAAATTCAAACAGACGTGTGCCATTCTCATAGCATATTTGAAACTCTCATCGTCGATTTGAAATTGAAATTTAATATAAATAAATAAATAAATGAAATAATTTATTTCGTCGTTGTGTTACGTTTTAATCTTTCATCAATAATAATAATAATAATAATTTTAAAATAAAATCAATTGTTCCAAGTGACTATGAAACTATCAATAGTATTTTTTTGCGCGATACTATCGGTATGTTACGGATACCGAATATTAGGAGTGTTTCCTTTCAACGGAAAGAGCCATTTCATGATGTTCGAACGACTGATGAAGATTCTGGCCAATAAGGGCCATCAAGTTGACGTGATCTCCACGTTCCCCTTGAAGAAACCGTATCCGAATTATACAGATCTTATTGTGCTTCCCGTATCTTCGTCATGGATAAACAATTTAACTTTTCACGAGATACAAAATTCGTTCATTGTATCAGCTCCTTTCATCGTGGGACAAATGGCAGGAAATATGATTTGCGAATTTTTGAAATATCCGAAGATACAGGAATTAATACACGATCCGCCTAAAAACCCGCCTTACGACGCGATCATCTTGGAGGTATGAATTCTAAGATTACACAAGAGAGAAAAAAGAAAAATACAATGAATTGATTATTTGTGATTGTTGCTAAAATAGAAGAATATATCTTTGTAACAATCAGAAAAAATAATTGATCCAAATACAGTATTCATTATTTTTGAAATAACAAAGAGTATTAACACATTCGTGAGATATTCGAAGAATATCGATTCTAGAAATTAAAATTGATTCAAAAGTGACGAGAAAATTTGTTTATTATATAAATTATAAACAATTGTGTTCATATCACGATCTCATTTCAACTAACAACTAACAAAATTAATAGTAACTCATCCATATTTTTGTGCATAGCAACTTTTGATTTGTCTTCTAGAATCAAAATAAAAAAATATATTTTCCACGAATAATCTCAAGATGAGATTCGTTGAAAAGAAATGTTCCATAATTTTATACAATTTTATCATAAATTGTACAATTCCTTTTTTTTCTTTTTTTCTTATTTATTACTATCTACTATTTTCATTTTCTCTTCCATCTTTCTTTAGAAACAGAATCGTAGAAAAATTTAGAGATGAAAAATGAAATCTCAGAAATCGTTCTCGTTTCAGATATTCGGTGCACACTGTTTCGGTATAATAGCCGACGTTCTGAAAGTACCGATGATAGGAGTGAGCAGCTCTGTGCTCTACCCTTGGTCCTACGATTACATCGGATGTCCTCACAATCTTGCATACGTGCCGCACAATTTACTTTCCTACTCCCAGAATATGAATTTCTGGCAGAGGATGTACAATTTTTTGGACAATCTTTACTCGATGTGGTTGTTCAATCATGTGACGGTTAAGCAGACGGAGATTATGAGGAAATACGTTAAACCCGATGCGCGAGATATCAGAGATTTGGAGAAGAATATGTCGATAATCTTAGTGAATTCGCATATATCGACAAATGGTATTAAAAACTTGAATCCGGCACTCATAGAAGTCGGAGGATTGCACGTACACGATGACGAAACAGTATTATTACCACCTGTAAGTATTTTTTTCTTCTATCCATTCATTTTCCCGTGAGAAGAAAACGCTTTGTCTATTATATTGTAAAAAGATTTCTTACAAATTTAGATAATTTAAACTATTTTTCTTAAATAAAATAATAGATGGTATGAGAAAATGTTCAAAAAAATTGATTGTAGAGTCTGGAAAAATGGATGAACGAGAGCGAACACGGATTTATCTATTTCTCGTTCGGTTCGATGGTGATGATCGAATCGTTCCCGATCGAAACCCTTCGAATCTTTTACGATTCTATGAGGAAAATAGCACCTGTTCGCGTGTTGATGAAAATAGCAAAATCGGACAAACTTCCGCCTGGTTTGCCGGAAAACGTCTACATTTTACCGTGGATACCGCAAGTCAAAGTTCTCAGTAAGTTTATTATCTAATAAATAAATTGTGCAAATTGATTGATTGCAACAGAAGAAATAAAATTTTAAAACTTGGATCCATTTCGAAATACTTCAAATACCGAATTTTTACTTTCTATTAAGTCAAATTAAAGATCGCGTTTTCTTGTCCAAAATTATTTTTACTTAAAGTTGATATTTTGAGTAATGGGTTATAATGGATTTTGAAAAATAAATATTCATAGAAAATTTTTATTCCATTAATTTCTAGCAATAAAATGAAATGGATTGTATTTTTGTAGAGCATCCGAATATAAAAGCATTCATCACGCATGGAGGTCTTATGGGAAGCCAAGAAGCTATTCATTATGGAGTTCCAATGATCGGTATACCTTTGTTTGCTGATCAGTTTATAAATATCGATAACTACGTTCGATTGAACATTGCAATAAAATTAAAAATTGTTAGTCTAACTCAAGAAGAAATGGATCACGCCTTGAATGAAATTTTAAATAATCCTAAATACAAGTACGTATGTTTTTTCATTTTTTTAAGTTATTTTCGATCGAACTTTATTAACTGATTTCCACCATATATCATTCGATGTAATTATTCGTTTCATAATTTTTGAGGATATTTCACCTTTTTTCACTTTTTTATATTTATAGAAGCCTTTACTAAAAAGAATGTTTTCGCTTAATGTTAACGAAATTATATCCTCGCTCATCCTTACGTCATTGAATTTCATTTAAAGAATATTTCAAAACTTTTTTAAATATTTATCTCATTTATTTTTTCGCAATATACAAATTAAAAAAATTGCAATTAAAATATATTTTATTATATGTTTGGTCCACGATGAATTGAAATATATTTGATAAATAAAAATCTTAAATTATCATAAACGACAAATTTTATCAATCACATAAAAAAAATCATAAAAAGATTCATAAGGATTAACTATGGAATAATATCTTGATATAATATTTTGAATGAATAATATTTTGATTATATCGTATTATTTTATTCTTTGACACAAAAAATAAGTTATTGTGCAACATGAAAAATTTCGCTGAGTTCATTATTATCATGAATTGTGAAATATTATTATCTTAACGCATGTTTGCCTTTCAGAAAAGCGATAAAGGAACTTTCGAAGAAGTTTTTAGATCGACCGATGAATTCTGCGGATACTGCAATTTATTGGATCGAATATATTATCAAATATGGATCAACTGCGCTCAGATCACCTGCGATGGATCTAACGTGGTGGCAGTTGGAACTATTAGACGTTTGCGGATTCCTCTTGATAGTGGCGTTAATAGTACTTTATCTTCTAACGATAGGATTACAATTCATATATCGTTTAATAAATTCGAGTTTCATTGTGCCACAAAAGAAAAAAATATCTTAAGATTCTTAGAATTATTAAATTATTGAAATTCTTTGTTTCTGTTTTAAATTTATAATTTTAATTATTCATCTTATGACTCTTCTTGTCCTTTCGAAAGGTTTTTAAATTTAACTAGATGATTATTTTATTATTAAGAATTATTAAAATTAGAAATTGAATAGTGGCATAATGGTTAAAATAATTTTTAATTTCGTGACATGCGATTGTGTTAAAAAATCGTGGAAAATAATAGAATATTTTGACAATAAGTTGATAGCTTTAACATAATAGTTTTAAGATTACGTATTAGATACATTTTTTAATTATTAATGCTTAGAATAAATAAAAATCAATAAAACAAATTATCTAATATCTTATATAATGTATTGTAATCTCTTTTGAATTATTTTCTGAAAAATTAAAATATATTCCATAATTTAATAGAATAATATTTGGAGAATATTTATTCGTAATAATTTAAAATTTTTTTCACATTTAATTGACTAAATATACGATTGATTTTTGTCTCTGACATCATGTCAAACATGTTTTGACTTTTCACGATTTTATGGAAGAGCATGAAAAATCAACGGCAACGATTTAACTTTGAAAATATATATTTTATAATACGCGTTGCTATTCACTATACTTCCATCCATTAAAATTTACGACTTGTATACCATAAACCAATAAAAATGTTAAAGCACATAATAAAATATCAAAGTATATGTATTTTATTATTTGAAAATTTTCATTGAATTTCTCAAGCATCTGAAAAGATTATTCTTCATTGAAATTAAAATTAGAATTTTCCAATTATCGTCGTGTATATATAACAATTAATTGAGTATTATATATATTTGAATTATTAGTTATTCGAATATATTAATATTGAATATTATAAATTATTTATTACTATTAATTTTATAAATTTTATTGCATTTACAACACTACATGTTCATTCATAAGTTATTATTTTTAATCATATCATAACTTATTTTATCTAAAACTTATTTTCGATTGATAATAAATTTCTGTTATCAATAATACAAATATGAGTTGTATTTATGATGTCTTTGTGTATTTGTAACAATTACTGGAGAAATATCATATAATAATTTTTATTAAATATCAATTGATTTAGCTAAGATATTTTAAAAGGGATAAAATATATATTCAGCATTATTAGATATATTATAATTATTGATAAGAAAAAAATAAAAGATGTTATATATTTTATTGATGCTGAAAAAAAAAATAATAAAATAAAAAGACAAAGGCATGAATATACAATTCGATAAGTTATAGAAACATAAAATATAAGAAGATAATCAACGATTTTCACCAATGATTTTAGAATTAATTTAAAATCATATTTCAAATTTTTTAAATTTCTGTATTATCAATATTCACTTGGGAGTTTAATATTAATTTAAAGTTTAAGAGTAATATATTATGTTTTCTTATTTCTTTCTTCTTATATATTTAACATTCTGAATTCTATTTGTGAAAGAAGGAATCTTTATCTTTCGTTTATCTTAACTAAGTTAACTAAGTTAACATATGCCAATTATGTTCTAGCAAATAAGACTTATTTAAATAAGACTATTATAGATTCTGAAAATCTGCAGTATGAATTATCGAAGAAATTCACACATTGCAAATCCATTATTCCAGCGAGATCCATTTCATCTAAATCGATTATATCTTACCGATATTTTCCAGTGATATCTACGAATAACAATGGATATCAGGGAAAAAGATAAATCATTATAAATTGTTTGATAAACAATTACGTTACAAAATTAATTAAAAATGTATGCTCCATTTTATATATATATATGTATATGTTTATTTAACTGCTATTTATTACCGAATGATAATCATAAATAATTCGATTAATTCAGATAAATGTGATTTGCGAATTGATACGAATTACACTTGAATTTTTCATTTATCTTATCCACGATAAAAATTCATCAATCTTATTCATCAAACATGGATTCGATCAATATAGAAAAAGTAATATTTAATAAATACAAGAAATTCTATCGTAATTAGTACATTTTTATTTATACTTTCGTGTTTCGAATAATAATATTAATTAAACATAAACTAAAATTAAATGATGTAATTAAAATATAATCCAAATTATTCTAATCATGATCCAATTAATTATAAATTAATTTCTTTTCCTGTTCACTCGAATAATCCATTGCACAAAAAACCAATAATTAACTACTACGTTAAAAACATACATTACCTACGTTACAAACAAATTAAAATTCCAATTGAATTAAATAAAATAATTCAACATATCCAATTTCATCAATGTAACATAATTCCAAATTTTAATTATCTTTCAACACAGATCCATAATCCAATCATTCGATTTATCAAATTAAGCAATAATTCCTTCTAATTTCATATCGGATATTGAATCTAAACTATCTCTCTTGTTCCAAGGAGAATAATATTCGGGTCAACACTTCTCTACTCTCCTTTCTTCTTCTTTCTCTTCGTTCAGTTTCTCTCCGCAAAAAAGCGAGACCTGTTCGTGAGTCAAATAACATAGAAGACAACGTTAGGAGAATATCCGTTAAAGTCAGTTGCCGCCATAAATTCCAAACCGTGAAACCGCAAATCACGTTTAGATTGAGGCTAACACGATCAACCCGCGAATCGCGTTTTCCGAAGACCTGGATCCATCGATCGGATCGATGGATGCCTCGGATATATGGATCGCGGGAAAAAGTCACTGATTTGTGACGCTATTTTTCCAGAAAAATTCCTGGCCGATCGAGCAGAAACATCGACACCGTTTCGTGTATGGAATTGGGGAAAAAACAAAGGAGAGATTTCGAGACGTTCGAAAATCGGAGGATGAAGTGGAAAGATAAGGAAATCTTCAGAATGAATGGATTTAAGAAAATTGAACTCGATTCCTTGTTTTTACGATTTTGATCGAAATATTGTAATGATGAGTGGATAATGGAATTTAATTTTTGATTGCAATCGAATGATTTTTAAAATTCTATTTTTTTTTTTTTTTATGTCAATTTGCAATTTTGTTAATTCCATCAATGGAGAAATCTTTGAATCAGAAATGAATGAATGGTTCCTTTGAATGGAAGTGGAAAGTTGCTAAATTTATTTATTTATTTATTTTTTTGATTAATTAAAATTTTTCTCTTCTGTGGGTAAATTGAATGGATTACATGAAATAATATTTATCTTGTATAAAAATGCTTACTAAGTACAAATTAATTTCTCATGATGAAGACACTTGAAGAATTCAAATAAAAAATTAATGATTTCTTATCATTATTGCACAATTTATCGGAATTTAATATTTATAAATTTGTGGAGTCATGATCTCTTAAATCAAATTCAAAAGAAAAAATATAAAAGAATCGATGTTTCATATGACGTATTTTCTGATAAATTCAGAAATTTTTTTTAAAATTTTAAAATTACAAGATAGAAGCATTTAATGTACAAACATTGTTTCATTTTAGAAATACTAATTAAATAAGAACTAAATGAGAATTAAATAAAAATAAATAAAATAGAGAAAAAATGAAGATAGAACAAAGAAGAAAAAGGAGAAAAAATATATAATGATCTTTCTGAAATTAAAATATAAAAGATTAAGGAAAGACTAAAGATTAGAGATTGGCTAAAGTAATAAAGAAAGGATGTGATGACATATTAACCTATAAATTCAAGATACAGACTTTTAAAGTTTGATACGAGAGAAACCGGTTTATGTGAGTCTCGAATTTCTTCTGTTTTTGAAGATTCTTACATAAAACTATTCCCTTTCTTTTGCCACATCCACATTTCTTCTTGCCAAATTTAAAAAAACATCACAATATATATTTATCATTATTTTAAAAATAATTCTATTTCATCATAAAATTTAATCTTCATTCTTGATGAATTCAAAATATGAGTTCAAAAATTCATATCTTTCTCGAATTTTTATACTTTAACTAATTATTTTTTTTATGTTTAAATTTATTTAATTCACGCTTTTGCATTATTAAAAATCTTTCGTTTTTTTTTTTTCATTTATTACATTATCTCTGTTTTTTGAACATTTTCGATATATGTATAATAATCAAAGTACACGATGATCACTATGATATCTATACAAATACATAAATCTTAAAAGATTGATTTGTATGTGTTCTACGATCTATAACATATAATATTTATTATCGCAATGTTGTTATTATTATTATCATCGCAATATTTAAAATCGATAATAGAATTAATATCGTACTAGCTCAATCTTAATAATAATAATAACAAGATACATAATTTTGAATCTCTATATAGAACACATCTATATTATCGTGTCATTTTACAAATAGATTTCATGGTCACGAACGTATAACACGTGATCCAACCCATTAGTCTGTCTCTGGCTTTCGAGAGCACAGGCAAGAAAGAGTTCAACTCCGACTTTAATTCAATGTAATTTGTTTCAAAAACAAACGTGATCGAATATAAGTGTTATCGTATGTATTCTCTGATATTGGATATTCATTTCGAGAAAGATTCGTGTATTCGTGAAAGTTTTATTTTGTTGTGAGTGATTAAAGAAAGAAGTGATTCTAATTTTAATTAAAACAGGAAATTTTTTTATTATATTGCCCATTGTATTGTCAATTCGAGACAGAATTTTTAATCTCAGTATTATTCATGTTTTAAATCTTTTTTAAAAAGTTTTTAAAAACGATCTTAACATAAATAAGATTATATAGTTTATATATAGTTACGATTATATAATAATTTTTTTTGCAATAAACGTACTAAAAAACGTGTAATATTCATTCATAAATGAAGAAATTGAAAAAAATCGATCACAAAAATTAATTCATTATTAAGAGTTTTTAATAAATCAATCAATTAATAAATAATCAAAGAATCGTTTTCTTTAAAATTTTATATAAATTTCCAATAATAAATTAAAAAAAAAATGTTAATAAAGTTTTGTGATAAAATCTATGTTATTCATAACAATGATCATTGTACATCAAATTAACGAGATATTACATCACGAATATTTAAAGATATTAATGCGATGCTAAAATGTATGTAAACTTCAATTTTAATTTGTCGTGACATTCTCGACAAATATTTTTTTCGTTCTATTCATTTCCTTTTGTTATCTTTAAAAATATATTATTATTAAGAATTTTATCAGCAATCACCTCTTGAAAAATAAATTAATTTTTATTATCGAAACAACAAACAATTGAAGAATCCGTATCCACATGAAATGTAATTTTATGAAATCGCCAATCATCATCAGTTATTATCTCATCTCGTGCAAACGTGAGAAAAAAAATTCGAAGAATTCTATAACAAGTATATCCTCTTTTTCCATTCAACGAAGAATGAAACGTCACGTTACCCCACCTTGGCGCTTCAACTCCCATCTTGGCGTTCAACACGCACAATTAACAAGTGATAGCAATGACATCTCGAATTTCGAAGCATCAACTCTCATTCAGCATCGAATCAATCATGGATCAACAAGTGATCTGATAACAAATTTTCCAAATAAATCAATGTTCAATCTTTGAACGATTCTAAGTGAATTCATATATAAATATAAATATACATAAATTTAATTGTATTAAATTAAAATTTATATTAGATTCTCGTGGTTCAGAATTATCAGAGGTGATTGAAGAAGAAGAAGAAGAAGAAGAAGAAGAATTATTCGATTCTCGTAGCTCAGAATCATAGGAGTTGATTTAAAGAAGAGAAGGAGGAATAAAGGAGGAAAGAAGCGTCACAATGAGATTGCTATTATCCATTTGTCTGGCGATATTAGCGTGTAGTTGGTGCGATGGCTTGCGAATTCTTGGCCTATTTCCAATAACCGGAAAGAGCCACTGGATAATGGAGGAACGGTTGATGATAAAATTGGTGGAACGAGGCCATCACGTGGACATTTACACCCACTTCCCCACAAAAAATCCGCCCAAGAATTACAATCAATATTCATTGAAGGGATCGTTAGAAATCGCGGTGAATAATGTTACAGCGGATAATGTAACAAATTTTGGTAACGTGAATTTGGCGATGATGACCTATATGGCGGGTGATCAATTGTGCGATCTAATGAAACATCCTTACATTCAAAAGCTGATAAAAAATCCTCCTAAGGAACCATACGATCTTATCGCGACAGAGGTAAGGATTGTATAATCTTTTATCTTATATCTCTGTCAAATAATTTATTTTGTAAATGAATTTTCTTCATCTTTTTCAAATATTAAAAAGTATTTTACACAAATGTTTGCCACCGAAACAATGGATTTCTCTTATTCAAAATCATAATTATCGTCTCAAAAATATGAAAGCAAATATGAAATATGATTAGCAGGAGATTCTTGAGATTCTAATTCCAAACAATATTTTCTTTTTGCAAAAATTTTTGTTCACGAGTTATTAAAAACCTTGTCTAATGTTTAAAAAAAAATTTGTATTCTTTTTTTATTTTAATTTAATTTCTAATTTAATTATAAATTTAATTATAAATTTTCACTATCAAATGATATATTATTGGAATAATTTAACTACATATACGTGTAATTATCTACATAATATAGAAAATGTTTAATCTTATTCATATCTTTCTTATGAATCATCGATGTTTTAATTAACATAATTAGAAAGAATAAAATGCAACAGTGGAATGCATTGTGAAACTTCAATATTGACAATATTGTTTATATTATTAATAACAATTCATTGTACTTTTATATTTCTAATTATTATACATGAATAATTATTATTTAACTTTTTCTTCTTATGAAATTGAAAATTGAATTATTCCTTTTTTTTTTAAAAATTCATTTTTGCGATTGAAGAAATAATTGAGAGCAAAATTCTTAATTTAAAAAATGTAAAACGTTTTTTCTTATAATTGCAATATATGATTATAAGTATATAATACAAAATTGGAAACTTGTTTATATTTATATTATTTCTAAAAAAAAAAAATGCAGCACCCAATCAAATAACTCGAAAATTAAACACAGAAAATTTCTTTTATCTTGGAAAGTTTCCAATTATCAATCCATTCTTAATCTAATTAATCAATCATTGACCAATAAAGAAATCTCCATTAATAAAAGATTAATCCTTCCAAATAATTTCATATATATTCTTCTTTTTCTTTCAGTTGTTCATGTCACCATGCTATTTGGCATTCGGTACTTATCTAAAAACACCTGTGGTCGGTATGATCACTTCCAGTTTCATAGATTGGATAAGCCACAAAGTGGGAAATCCGATAAATTTAGCCATCACGCCCGGTATATTCACTTCATTCACAGAACGGATGAGTTTCTGGGAAAGATTGCAGAATACTTTCATAACCAACATGATCATGCTGCAGACTGACTACTATGTAAACAAGCAAAAAGCTTACGTGAAACAATATCTTGATTTAGACGCGGAGATACCTGAACTGTACAAAAATCTCGCTCTCATCCTTGTCAACTCTCATCACAGTATAACAGGTGTCACTACCAGAAGTACCGGTGTCATCGAGGTTGGAGGATTACATCTCAAAGAAAACGGAGATCCTTTGACACCGGTGATTATCTTCACTTAAATATTTTTAATATTTCCATTTTGTTGTTTGTTCAACGAAGAAGGGAAAAAAGAGGAATAGAAGATTTTTTGAGTAATCGAATGAATGCAAGAAAAGTAATAATGAGCCATTAAGAAAATTATATATAGAAGAATTTTAAATAACTTAAAATTTGTAAAAATGTGTGAAGAATTTGATTTGACGAAAGAACTGTATTTGAAGAAAATCGTATTTGTTCTGAAAAATATTGTGAAAAATTTTAAAAAAATTTTAAAAGATACGTAATTATAATATTAGGCTATAATTTTGTATAAAGTGTAATTTGAAGTTTTTATCGGAAACTTAGAGGAAGAATAGGGTACAACGATAAAGTAGCTTAGCTTGTCGAAAAAATAATAATCTTGAAGCGCTATTAAGATGATCGACTGAGATTATGATGCAACGTGCAATTACCGTAATGCATTCGAAGTTGCAGAAAAGCTTAGTGTCCTCTAAACACGCGACTATATATAATCGCTTCGTCGTAATATTTTCTTCCTATCCGGGAAGCGAAGAAAAATTCTTCACATTGATTTATATTCTAAGAAAAATAATTCTTATTGTGCCAATAGGAATTAAAAAAATGGTTGGACGAAAGTACTCACGGTTGCGTGTATTTCACGTTCGGCTCGATGGTGAGAATCGAGACATTCCCTAAATCCCTCGTGGAAACATTCTACAAAGTTTTCAAGAGGATCGCGCCTGTTCGAGTAATGATGAAAGTCGCGAAAAAAGAGGATCTACTTCCTGGATTGCCAAATAACGTGATGATACAACCCTGGTATCCTCAAGTATCCGTTCTCAGTACGTAATTAAATAATTTTCTCAATCAGTCAACAATGAATCTGATAAATTCCTTTGAAAAGTCTTTCAAAAAAGCATCCATTAAATATCATTAAATATGTTTTTTTTTGTTGAAAAGAGTTTAAATATCACACATCATTAAATTGTAATTATTAATTTGCATAATTCGAAAATGGAAGAATAGATTCTACGGGTCCATTTTTTTTTTTTTTTTTTCTAATTTTAATTCTCTTTTAAATTTCAGAACACCAAAATCTCAAAGCGTTCATCACGCATGGAGGACTGATGGGGACGCAGGAAGCGATCTACTTCGGAATCCCATTGGTTGGAATCCCACTTTTCGGTGATCAAAACTTGAATCTTCAAAACATGGCTAGGAAAAATGTAGCTGTGAATCTTGGCTCGTTCCATAATATCACAGAAGAGAACCTGTACCATGCACTTAAAAATGTTCTGTACGATGAAAAATACAAGTACGTATATTTCTCTGAAATTTCTCTAAAAATTGTATTTTTTTGAATTTATAATATTCAAGGAAATTGAGAAATAATTGTTCATAAATGTAAAAGAAAAACATCTAATTTTCTTACTCATGACATTAATTAAGAATTCAAAGATGTTTGAACTTTATATTTTCTATTATAAGAAATGGTTAAAGACATTTATTTCAATTTCAACTTCTTATTTTTCTACTTTCCTCTTTATAGTACACACTTTTCTATTTTGCATAATATGTACTTTGCAGATGCCATTTTCATTTAGTTCTCTTGTATTTTCGTCCTCTATTTTCTTGCTTTTCCTTTTTTATTATTATTTTATCGTTCTTTAATACAATTATCTCTGGCTGTGTTTTGTCATACTGCAATGCTTAATTAATTTTTTAATTTTAAGCTTCATTCATTCGTAATTATTCAGAATTGAAAATAAAAGAATGAATTTTGAATATTGAGAACCTTTACTTTATGTAATCAGATTTGTCAATCTTAGATCTTATCGTTAAGATTTTTCGAAGCTGATATCTGTTTATCTTATCTTCTAAATAAAAATAAAAAAAAACAACAAACAAACATTTAAAATTATCTTTCTATTTCGATTTTTTAATTCCACGTTAACAAAAATTCCACGTCTTTCGTTAATATTTTATTGATTAAATTTCCAGATCGAATATGCAGAAATTGTCGGAATTATTCAAGGATAGACCCATGACCGCTCTTGACACCGCTATTTATTGGATAGAATATGTGGCGAGACATGGATACATTCTGCAATCATCGGCCATAGACCTCAACATGTTTCAACAGAGTCTTTTAGACGTTTATGGATTCATGGTTCTGAGTGTGGTAATAGTTTTCTCTCTCGTCATTTTCTTGATACGAAAAGCGAAAAACTTTGTATTCGGACATAAATCTTGTCCTTTCAAAAAAAATCAATCCAAAGAAGAGTCGAAGAAGATGAAGTGAATCCTTTTAAATGTATATCTAAGAATGTACATTGTGTGTGAATGTGTATCGTTTTACATGTTATTCACTTTTATACGCTTATCTACATAAATATATTTATTTATGTAAATAGTAATTAGTAAAATATTCAAATATTTTATAAATATATATTAATTTCAATTAACTTTCTCTTGTGTTTTTAACTTTCTGATGATGA